GGGTGATGAAGAGGAAGGTCTCCGTCGCCACGCCGAGCCCTCGGTGCCCGGGGGTTTCGCTTTCTCGCTCCTTTACCCTGCCTGCCCTCCATCCCTGCCCTGCTCGGTACCCACCTCCGGCCCAGGGGGGAAGCAGGACGGCTGCAGACCCAGATGTTTCCAGAGGGTGCCACGCAGCTCAGAGCATCCTCGGCACGGGCGGATTTCGGGGGCCCAGATCCGCACCGGCTACCCCAGCACTTCCTCCGGCTGACACGCGCCGAGGGAGCAGACCACATCTTCTGCTTTCTTCTTGTGCCTCCTCCAGGTAGGGAGGGCTCCCTGCCTGCTGCAGACTGCCCAGACCGTGAGGACGCCTCGCCTTTCCAGCCGCCACCTTCCCATTTACCCCTTTCCTGAGCCTTACTGGGACTCCATCAGCCTCCCGGGCAGCGGCGCGGGGCTCTGGACGACAGCAAGGATGCCACATGGCAAAATGCACAAACTGGCTGCATCCCAAAGCATTCCCGCTCTCCGGAAGGGGCAACGTCGTCCCCGCAAACACAACGCCAGGTCAGACGCTGCCCGTCCTCTCTCAGCCCAGGGCTGACACAAACACGTGCAAACGGCTCGGGCTAATCTGATGCCAGCGTCACAAACCCCTAAAAGTCAGCAAAAACCACCAGCAAAGGGGATCCCCTCGACAGGGGGACCTCCGAGCCCCCCGCGCTCTCCCAGGCGACGAGCCACCCTCGCTCTCCGGCGCGATGGCTTCGCCGGCTTCTCTTTCCCAAGCCTCCCAGCGCAGGAAAGCCCAGCTCCCGCTTGCATCATTCCCCCACTCCTTTTGCCCTTTTCTTCACCCAGTCTCTGCTCTCTCCTCCCACTCTCCACACCTCACCAAAGCCTCTCCTCCCTGCGGTATTCGCCCCGGGCCCTTTACAAAAGAAAGGGACGTGGCAGGCACCTTACCCTACATTTCTGAAAAGGGCTCCGTAATCCGCAAACGCTTACTAGAAGGCCACCAAGACCTGAGCAGCCGACTGGTTTTCGCACCGTCTGCTCTCACTACAGCACGGGAAAGAAAGCCTTTGCTCACTTGTGAGATTTACTGCCTAAGGCGGGGCAGAAGGAAACCAAGGTGAAGCACACCATCGCCCAGGGGCCAGGCTGTTTCCATCACCAACATCCAGCCACCGCCAGAAGAAACAAAAGACCTAGCAGGGCCACCGAGGACAATCCCACAGGGGATGCTCGGATTCCCGCTCAGCTTCCGCAATCATACAGGAAAAGCTTGAAACCGTAGCCCAAGGAAACTTCAAAACAGAAGACACACACAAAAAGAGCTTAAATACATCCTCAATCAAGAAACATCCTAAACCAAGAAGCACTTTGATCAAAGTCAAGACTGCCTGGAGTTTGAGGCGTCTTCGGAACGGCCATCTCATTCCCATCAGTTCCCAAATCACGCAAGAAATCCCCCCCCAGATCGGGTAAAGAGAAGAAACCCGCCGCAAGGAAGGAAGGAGGAAGAAGAGCCTTGCCTCCAGCTTGCAGGGGGAAGGCAGCGTCTCTGTGTGTTCCGAGAAACAATTTTTGGGCACAGGCTGCTCAGTCTCGGCCTTCGTAACACGCTCCCCTGGCAGGCTGAAGTCGACTCGGTGGCATTTCTTCCCCGAAAGCGGCATCGAGCACTTCTGGCATGCCAGGCGTAACTTTACAGGGCTGCTGTGGCAACAGCGAAACAGCACAATGAAATAGGTTTCCTCGGGCTACCACGAGAGCAAAGAAAACCCTGTTTTCAGCTGAGGGTCCCTCTGCAAAATTCCCAAGATTCAGTTGCACCAAACTGTCAGGAAAAAACAAAAAAATGGGGCCCAGCTGCGAGCAGGAGATGCTGCTGTACAAGGCCAGCCTGCACAACACCCTGGTTATACCACCCTCTTTTGAGCTAAAGGTTGTGCCTCTGCAGAGAGAAAAAATCTTAGATGGGAGGAACTCACCAGAGTGATGAAACCAGGAGAAAAACCCAGCTCCCCTCCGCCTCCGACACACACAAACGCTCTCGCCGCTCCTCTGCCTGCCCCGCGACCGAAGGAAGTTAGGCAAGAAAACTCACCGTCTGATCTCTCTTTAGACAATTTCTCTGCTCTTCTTGGAAAAAAAGGATGAAAGATCTCAAACCTGCGAGAGTTTACAGCACGCCTGTGTCAGTCTTGCTCCCAGGCTGAGACGGCAGCGACAGCACCAAGGAAATTACAGGAGCGCGGGGACTCCTAGGGAGGTGATTTCTGTTCCTCCTCCTGTACAAGGTGCCCAAGCAGCCACTGACACCGTGACCCGGT